TGAGGCGGTTGTTGTTGTAGTCGCGCGTTGTTGTTGCTGTAGTAGCGCGGGTTGTATTTCCTTCGTCGCGCGTATTGCACCCGCGGCTGTGGCGGTTGTTGCTGCTGTAGTCGCGCGTGTTGTATTTCCGTCGTCGCGCGTATTGCACCCGCGGCTTTGGCGGTTGTTACTGCTGTAGTCGCGCGTTGTTGTTGTTATCGCGCGTCGTTGACGTCGTTACAATAACCGCTGCTATGGCGGCGTTGGTGTCGCTCCTGTGGTGACCGCTGCTGTGGCGGTTGTTGTTGCTTGACCGCGTTGTAGCCGCTACTGAGGCGGTTGTTGTTGCTGTAGTAGCGCGTGTTGTATTTCCTTCGTCGCGCGTATTGCACCCGCGGCTGTGGCGGTTGTTGTTGCTGTGGTCGCGCGTTGTTGTTGCTATAGTAGCGCGTGTTGTATTTCCGTCGTCGCGCGTGTTGTACCTGCGGCTGTGGCGGTTGTTGGTGCTGTAGTCGCGCGTTGTTGTTGCTATCGCGCGTCGTCACAATAGCCGCTGCTATGGCGGCGTTGTTGTCGCTCCTGTGCTGACCGCTGCTGTGGCGGTTGTTGTTGCTTGCGCGCGTTGTAGCCGCTACTGAGGCGGTTGTTGCGTAGTCGAGCGTTTTGCCCCCGCGGCTGCTTATGTTGCCGCCGTTGTTGTTGTTGCGGTGGCAGTCCCACTTAAGAACAGACCAGAGCAGCTATAGCAGAAATAAAAACATTTAGAGAAAGGAACGATTCTAATGGAATACAGTTTTGCTATATGTCTAACCCCATGATATAAAAATAGCAGGTAGTTTCATTTATTGACATTCGTTGTTATTGCCGACCACTTGACTCTTTACCAGTTTGTGACATTTAACTAAAATCATGCTCCCAGATTCACTAGTGGGAAAATTTTTATTTTTTTTTAAAAGAGTAAAAAAAAAATTTAAGTTAGTGAAGATGGATCAAAATATTAAAAGAAAATTCTTGCGCGTTTCCAAGCTGCAAAAATTTGGTACATTCGGTAATGCCCTGCAACTTTTAACACTGGTAATTTTTGGAGTTCTCGGAATTTTCTGATGGCGCTGCAAAAAAAAATATGTACAAAAATATAAGCTCGAAACTAGGTATTTGTGACAAGAAGTATCCACATAAGATGGAAACAACTGCAGTCTCATTTAATAAAATTTGTGTTTATAGGAAAACGCATAGTAAGGCAGTTTGCGTACACCGGTTCG